TCAAAATGCTAATTCATTCAGGATTCAATCAAGTGATTGTATTTGAGTCAGTAACTGAATCATTCACTTGATCGATTCGTTCATTTAGGAAGAAACTAAATGACTTCTCCATTAAGTAAATCACTGAATCATTTATTCATCCGATTTGTTCAAAATGCTGATTCCATCAGGAAGGAATCAAGTGACTGCCTTTATGAGTCAGTCATTGAATTATTTGCTCAATCAATTTGTTCAACAACCCAGATTAATTCTGGAAAGAACTACATGACTATCTTTTTGAGTCACTGAATCACTCATTCAACAGATTTATTCAAAGCGCTGATTCATTCAGGAACAAATCAAGCAATTGCATTTATGAGTTGGTCGTTGAATCATTCACTTGACTGATTCATTCCACAACAAAGATTCATTCCAGAAAGAACTAAATTACTGTCTTTATGAATGAGTCATTTGTTCAACAAGATTTGTTAAACTTTCATCAGAAATGAATCAAGCTATTGCCTTCATGAGTTCAATGAATCATTCACTTTATTCAACACAGATTCATTCGGAGTTGTGAGTCTTCATAAGTGAGTCATTGAATCATTTATTCAACAGAATTGGTCAGAACTGATTCAGGAAGGAAACCCCAATATTGCTCAAAGACATGTTGGATTTGTTATGGAAAATGATTTATAGAAATTGTAAATAAAACAATGATTATTGGAGTACATTTTACAAAAAACAGAACAGTATTTCAGACATTCTTCTTCAAAATGTCATGTTTAATTTAATGTGTTGTCATTTCTATATAATTATTGTTTTAATTTAATAATAGCAATTTCTGAGTGAAAATTGTTTCAAAGTATTCTCATTTTTCGTTTTCATTGAAGGATTGTGTGGCAGTATTTAGGAAAATTTATAACCAAACATTATTGTAATAGTCATTAATTTCATATGGCCACTTATCTGTTCACGCAAATCACTCTCAAATCCTTAATTTACTTATCTTTTGATTATAGATATATCTTGGTTTAGACATTCGGCCTGATCTTATGCATGACCTACAAACCACAACAACGTTCATTATCACACCGAACAGCAAAACAATTGTGTAAATTACTGAAAGTGGATAAAAATTTCGAACTTTAATGACACTCCAAGGTGCCACAGAAGAGATTTAGCCGGTGCTTATTAGTGACCATGTGACTGATTAAAGACTCACCTAAGATGCTGATGCAACCATGTGAAATTCATTTCTCCTCCCTTAACCCAGTGTAATCCTATTTAGCACTGAATGTGTCAATTATCTGTGAGAGTAATGAAAACGATGCTGCCAGCAATAGCGCAGCACTTCAGCGCCACATTCCTGAGAGAAGCTGATGTTTATTCAGCGCGCCACATGCCTTCACAATAAAGAGAAAACTTAATGCAATGCTGCGGTCGGCTTGAATCATGGCTGCATGACGGTACATACATCAGTGAAATTATAAAGGTTAACATATACACTACCGTTCAAAAGTTTGGGGTCCATGTATATTTAATACTTGTCTTCAGCAAGGCTGCATTAAATTAATTAAATGCTGTTCTTTTGAACTTTCTACTCGTCAAAGAAACCTGGAAAATAAAATATATCACCGTTTCCACAAATATTTGGCAGCACAGCTGTTTTCAACACTGATAATCATCAGAAATGTTTCTTGAGCAGCAAATCAGCATATTAGAATGATTTCTGAAGATCATGTGACACTGAAGACTGGAGGAATGATGCTGAAAATTCAGATTTTGTAGTCAACTTTTTTTTTTTGTAGTAAACTGTAATATTTCAAAACAGTTTCACTGCATTTTTCACCAAATAAATGCAGCCTTGGTGAGCAGAAGAGACTTCTTTCAAAAGCATTAAGCAATTATACCAACTTTTGAACAATATCATTAATTTAAGTGCATTTAGTCTTGTTTATTTTTACAATAATAATAATGATAATAATATTTATAAATATAAATTTATTATTATTAAAGTATTTGTTACTATTAAGAATAATAATATTTCCAACAGGATAAGAAAAATAATTTGAATAATTACATTTTTAATGGTATTTTTACCTCCCAACACAACAAAAACCCAGCAGTTTTTTGGCGGTGTGACGTGAAGGCTTTGGCTTTCTGTATCTCAGGCTTTTGTTCCTGGTTCGTCACAGTGATTAGCATTCATTTACGCTAATTAACCTGAGCAGCAGAGTTGAGGCTTGAGTGCCTCTGTGCAAATGAACAGGTGCTGCGTTACACACACACACACACACACACACACACTCATAAGGTCCCTTATGGTTATGAGTCTGACAGCAGACAAAAGCTTCTTGAGATGCAAATGCATGTGGGCGTGAGCCGCAACCTTTGGTCTGAGGAACGGCACATGTGAACATCTGATATTTGTTTGTTTTTCACACTTTATGTGTCTGTGAACACATAAGAGAGAGAAATGTGTGTGAGGGGGTTGTGTGTTTACATGTTCACATATGAATAAGGATCTTTAAAAGCCCGGGGTGAGATCTGTCCCCCTGCGTCGCGGCTAATGGTTATAAATGGTGCAATACTTCATGATGTATTAATAACTGGGCCCACAGCTGTAAACCTGCAGGACAGATGGCCTCAATACCTCTCTTTGATGCTCAAGTCATTAAACTCACATCTCCTTTCCAAATCATTAGCCCAAAACTTTGTCCCCCTCGTTCTCGCTCTCCTAAAATCACTGCACATCTGCGAGAGTCCATGTGTTTTGATCAATGTCTAATAAACACACATACAGTACAGATGCACAACAAACATGTAGTTGAAAGTGTGGTTAAAGTCTGGCCTTTTCTTACACTCTAAAAAATGCTGGGTTAAATATAACCCAGCGCTGGGTTTAAAAGGGACAAACCTTTTTTTTTTTTTTTTACCCAAATGCTGGGTTCAGCCCGTTGGGTCATTTTATTGGGTTACTTTTTAATATTTTTGATCCAGCTGCTGGGTAGTATTTCTGTAACTATGTTGCTGGGTCGTTTTTAATGCTGGGTTATTTTTTTTCTACCCAACTGCTGGGTTGAGCCTGTCTCTGATGAAACAACGCAGCTGCTGAGTTACAGTCAGAGAACGGGCGATTATCAATTTGGTCAACTTCTTCAGCAAAATAAGGGTTTGTATAAATTTTTTCTCATTTATAAAGTCTTTACTGTGCTGTAAATTATATTATATTTTTTTTTTTTTTTTACCCAAATGCTGGGTTCAGCCCGTTGGGTCATTTTATTGGGTTACGTTTTAATATTTTTGATCCAGCTGCTGGGTAGTATTTCTGTAACCATGTTGCTGGGTCGTTTTTAATGCTGGGTTATTTTTTTCTACCCAACTGCTGGGTTGAGCCTGTCTCTGATGAAACAACGCAGCTGCTGAGTTACAGTCAGAGAATGGGCGATTATCAATTTGGTCAACTTCTTCAGCAAAATAAGGGTTTGTATAAATTTTTTCTCATTTATAAAGTCTTTACTGTGCTGTAAATTATATTATTTTACACAACGCAACACAAGAACGAGAGTCGTTTTGCGCTGGAAATGCCTTTTGCCTTACATAACAAATGGATTTTATTCGTAATACTGAGTTTAAGATCATTTAAATATGATAATAAAATATGTTCTCTAATCTCAGTACTGTTTGTTTATGGGCAGGTTTTGGAGTCAGTCACGCTATCGCTCTGCTACGAGTGAAACGCGAGGCCGCGGTATATTTAAATATATGTAATATTGTAAACTATACTGTATTCACCCAAATAAATTCAATTTGTAAAATGTATTTTGTCCATGTGTTCTTGCTTAATAATAAATGTTCATCTTTTGATTATAAATTTGACTTGATTTTAAAGTCATCACAAAATGCCATTCACAACCATAATCTGACGTATTTTTAAACACAATATAAGTAAGAAAAAAAATGTAGGGCAAAACTTTTATCCATCGAGAATTTATTCAAAACGGAGTCAGATAACTGGAGGAGAGGGGATGAAAAAATAAGTGCGATTCATGACATCAGCCTAAAAGGAAAATCATTTCAGATGCTGAGCAAGATATGCCATTTTCATAAAAGTATTTCATATTTGTAATGTTTTGAGTAACATGGATTAAAAAAAAGATCAGGAGCGTGCATTATAAATAGTAATAAATACTGTGCATTATAAATAGTAATAAATACTGTGCATTATAAATAGTAATAAATACTGGGTAAAATAGGGACAAACCCAGCAATTGGGTTGTTTTGACCCAGCGGTTGGGTTAAATGTTTAGGGTTTGTCCCTATTTTACCCAGCACTGGGTTGTATTTAACCCAGCATTTTTTTTTTTTAGAGCGTAGGGTCTGATTTCATGGCGTAATGGCTAAATAAGATTCTCAAAGGAATTTAGTTATGCTGTAACCTGTGTTGAATTTATCATGACTTTTTCATTGGTCTTTTGAAGCAAGTTTAAAAAACAATGCCAAAACAAACAATGTAACTAGTCAGATTCAATTCATGAACAAATAACTCTTATGAGCCAGCTCTTAGTGCATAAGTGAATCAACAACATCCAGCCTGACCTTCACTAAGCAAATGACTCCTGATTCAGTTTGAAACACAGCCCTGTATAATTTACAGCGTTAGTTGAGAGAGAATGATTTGTGTAAACAAAAACTGACATTACAACAAAAATATGCACAAATGAATCAAAACTGAGTCCAACTGAAATTCCAATCAAATCAAAAGTGAACTGAATTTGAATCAAATGAAATCCATTAAATCTGTATTGATTCTCTTATCTTATTGCAATGAAATGTTTGCAATCACATAGTAACGTACACAAGCCGCTGCAAAGATGCAGCGCAAATTCTATTGCACTCCAGCAACCCACGGTTATGCATTTCTCATGCATAATTACAGAAATACAGAAAAAGAAACTCTTAAAATGAAATTGCAATATCAAAAGGGGCATTGACCTCTAAATGCACACGAGCCTTACCTGTATGTTGTCAAAAGAAGCTTTATTTGTCACATCGTAGAGCAGCAAAAGAGCTGAAAAGACAGACGAGACATTAATCACATATATGAAAAACCTCAACATCAACTCCGACATCGGTTGTTTCTAAACACAAAAAGTCCTTTTGCACTCTGTAAAATCTTTTATTACTGGGAGAGAAAGCAGTATAAAGTTAGTGGATGAGTCCTCTGGCTTTACAAGCAGGTAATCTGAAGCACTCCAGTCGCTCGCACCGTGTGATGTGTTTATGGATTCAGTCCTATATTTGGGGTTTGGGGGAGATGAAGGTCCGTGAAGGGCAAACATTAAAGGATAATTACCATCTCTGGTATGAGGGAAGGGGCACAGACGGAGGAACAAACAACGTCTGGCTGTGCATTTTTTTTTTTTTTTTTCTCTCTCTCTCTCTCACTCACTCACTCTCACTCTCTCACTCTCTCACTCTCTCTCCCTCACCTATCCTCGTGGGGACTCTCCATAGGCATAATGGTTTTTCTACTGTACAGAACGTATATTCTATTGCCCTACACCAACCCTACCCCTCACAGGAGACTTTCTGCATTTTTAGATTTTCAAAAAACTTAATTCTGTATGATTTATAAGCTTTTATACCCGTGGGGACCTCAATTTAGGTCCCCACCGTGACACGAGTCCCCATGAGTCTGTGTGTAGTCAGGTTTAAGTCCCCACCATAAGCTTTTATACCCGTGGGGACCTCAATTTAGGTCCCCACCGTGACACGAGTCCCCATGAGTCTGTGTGTAGTCAGGTTTAAGTCCCCACCAGGATATATACACACACACACACACTCACCATTATTCAGAATGGAGAAGAGATGGTCTGAATGGAGATTGTTTTAACAGCGAGTTTGCATGCAAGACATTTTTAATTAAATCTTAGTTTTTTTTGTAAGACAATGCAGTGCTAAAATCTTTCAAAGCGACTTTTCCTAAAGTCCATGCGAGGCCTCTCTGCATTGAGTGACAGGAGCCGAGCGGAGGACTGATGGGAAGCGACAGCAGCGTGTCGGGGTCCCTACGATCACAGCCTCCTGCGCCTGTGCGTCTGAAACCAACGAGACAGCGATTCAGCTGTGCAGATGGAAATAACTGAGTTTGTTTGCGAGCATCTCAAAAGCCAGGTGTTCTCCATTTACAATGTCTGAACAAATATATGTGAGGGGGAATTTTCAATAAAGCAGAAACACAAACCGCTGTAACCTTGAAACAGTTTCTGCTCGTGGGAGTGAGATTGTGCATCAGAGACTGTAGACGCTGACAGGTTGCATGCACTCGTGAAAGACATTCAGAGAATCTTTTACACAACATGGTTCAATTGAAAAGAACTAACTGACTAATTGATTTAATTAAGCCTTTTAAGCTGCAAATATTATTTTGATGAGTTCTGTTAAACATTGCTTTTGTTCCTCTTTTTGTCCAACCCGATCTCATGAAAGTGCGTATAAATAGTATGCCAAAATAAAAACAAAAACTTGTGGTATTGATACGCAAAAATTGACTTTGGCGTGTTGGGTAGATGCGTATCATATGCATGCGAAAACTGCGTGAAGTGTTGAGATTGTGTTTACAGTTGTGAATTGTGTGTTAGTATTTGAGAAAAACTAATACCAACATTTTCCGATATGTTAAAGTTTTTTGGTTATTACTGACCATGAGTGCACTAATGTCAATGACAGGTAATATATTTCTTGTATGTTACATTTACATGCTAAATAAGTTAGATTCAGCATGTGCCATCCTACCCCATTCATTTGAACTGAAATAGATTCCAGGGCCACCACTGAATTATGTTGAAATTAATTGTAACAAATAAATTTTATTGAGTAATCAACTTAAAAATGTTGTTCATTCCTCAATTTTTAGTTGCTATCATTCAGTGTAATTTGTTAATTTAACATTTTTCATTAGAAGAGGTCATACCTCCAAAAGACTGATCCAAACTGTTGCATTCATTATTTTTGTTAAGCAAAACTTTAGTATTAGAGTGTGGCATGTACAGAACTCCAGAAACTTCCTTCACTCGTCTCACAGCGGGAGAAACTGAGAAATCGTCCCCCTGCAGCTTCACAAAACGCCTGCATTTTAATTCTGCAATGCTCATTATTCATAGTATTCAGCTGTGTATATGGAGAAGTTGGGAGTATTTTACATAAACCTGTGAAGCAGTTTTAATTGCACGAAGTGCATGTTCAATGCAACACAGGCCATGTTTCAGTCATCACACTCCACATGTGTAATGTATATTGCACATTTTGATGTATTGCATTGCATGTTTCTTCAATTATAGAGCCCTGTGGACTTTATTTAGAAAATAAATTATCTTAAAATGCTCTAATTTATTTAATCAGCCTAAAATCTACGAAAAATCCCTAAAAACAAGGCCCAGTGTACTTTTAATATTAAGGAATTTTCAGTGTATATATATTTTTTTATTAATTTATTTATTTTACACAGGTTTTACCCGTATTGTGAATAATTCATTGAATTTTGTTGTGTTTTAGGGTTAAAAGAAGTGTCTGTAAATTTAACAGAAAAGGTACTGGTCTTTGACATTCATATATATTTATATGCATAACAAAAGTCAGAAAATGACCAGTCAGAAAATGATTTTCAAATGCTTTTGTGAAAATAAAACAAACTTTGAAAATAAAATTAATGAAAAAAAAAACCTATTAAAAAAACATTTATGATAATCTAAACGGTGAAATTAAACAAACCATTTCAATATTTTTGTAAAAAAAATTTAAATTAATTTTAACAAATTAAATGTCCCACAGTCATTTATACCTTTTGCCTCTAATAAAAACATTTAATCAATAGTTGTTCTCAATAGTTTCTCAAGAAGACCGCAGTGAAGAGCCTGTGGTTAAATTTCAGATGAAAAATATCCAAATGTCACTTTTGTTGTGATTTTGTGTCATTTCCGATTAAGCCATAAACTCCTATGAAATGAACAATTATAGCAAGACAAATGAGTTTACCATTTTATTCCAAAGATGCCATTTCCATCACAGATACACATAACTTGAGATGTGTTGAAAATGTCTAAAAGTAGCAATTCAATGACTCAAATATGTCTATGTTGTCTCAAATCCTCACTAGATTTTGAAACGGCCATAATTTTGTTCTTAAGCTTGAATGTTTTGTCACCTGCTACGTCACTAATTAAGCAGGCAGAAATATCAACCGCTTCATGTCTCCATATAAGATGTGATGCCTTCTCCTCACCATATGTCAGTATAGCATATGCAAAAGCTGGAACAAAAGATGTAAAAGGCTGCTTTGAATGCATATTGGCCCGAATAAACAATCAAACTGGAGCAAAGGAACAAAGACTCGTCACAAAGTGCCTTTTCAGAGCCCAGTTAGACTGACACATGTGAGTGGCACTTCAATAATGACTGCAATTAACAATAATCATGTCAAAACCATTTCTGAAGCCCATTATTATCTTGCTCTCAAAACCTTGCCCAAAAATACTATCACTTATTATTGACCCAGAAAGGTAGAGAGAGAAAGTAGATGAGAGAGAAATTGAGGTAGCGAGAGAGAGAGAGAGACACTAAACCAAAACTACCCACAAACCACTGCACCTTTAGTTCTGAAAGACATTTCATCATTCACATTACCTTTACATTTGGTTATAAAGTGGTTGAAAATCAAATTAGGTAAATAAGGCAGAGCATTCAATCAATACAGACAGCTCACATTCAACTGAATAAAGCTCATACATCATTGATTTCATCTGAAAGGCTTTGAAAGCTCCTCTGAAGAGCGTGTGTCCTTTTCCCTTCACGTTGTGTTTGTTTTATCTGATGAGCAGTAGATGATGAATATGCTACAGATCTGCTGATAAAAGAGAGCTGAGGGATCATCATTTCTCATTTGCAGTGTATGACTGACATATGTCAAATGTTTCAAACTGTTCACTTTCCTTCTAAATCTGGAAACCTATCAAGGTACAAAACAATGCCTGCTTTTTAGGTCAACCCACCCAATTCTCACTACCATAAATTTGATGAGGATTTTGAGAGGTTTGTTTGTTTGTTTTTTAATAGACAAAAAATAAAAATAAACAAGAGACAAAGAAAGCACAATGAAAACAGTAAATTAATTTAGGAAATAAATTATATAACAGTTTAACAATTAATAAAGGTTTCTGAATTAAAGACATCTTTCAATGCTTACATGCATGCATGCATGCATACATACATAAATATTTGTTTTGTTTTGTAATTTCCATGAACAAAAATAATGGAGGTTTCAGACCAGGCTTGGAAAAACATTCCACTAAAATGAATAAAAATGGACAAAAATCCCAAATCTGTGATCTTTGCTGAGGAATGATTATTTGTGATTAATCGCATCCAAAATAAAAGTTTTTGTGTACATAATATATGTGTGTGTGTACTGTGTATTTATTATGTATATGTAAATACACATTTAAGAAAAATATTAAGTCGCTGGGGTATATTTGTAGCAATAGCCAACAATACATTGTATGGGTCAAAATTATTGATTTTTCTTTTAAGACAAAAATCATTAGGATATTAAGTAAAGATTGTGTTCCATGAAGATATTTTGTAAATTTCATACCATAAATATATAACTTAATTTTTGATTAGTAATATGCATTGCTAAGAACTTAGACAAATAATTGCTACAACTTTAAATAAAATTTAAATGGATAACAAAAATAAAATATTAAAATTAAACTTAATCTTAATAAAAACAAGAATAGTAACTAAAATAACACCGTTTTGAACAAATCAGTTGAATGAATCAATCAATGACTCCGGATTTAGTTTCATAATATAATTTCAATCATCTTTCAGTATTCAAAACGTTATATTTAAAACATTACTTTGTATTAAATAAAAATATATAGGCCTATTTCATTTTTTTCAGACAACATTCATTTTATTTTTTTTAGTTTCAGTTAATAACACTGCGCCAAACATGTCTTCGGTGTGCTTTACTACAAAATTTGCACAAACACCATTTTGCATCATGTT